AACACCATCTAATATCCCATCATATGTGAATTTCTCTAAAACATCATTCATAGTTGTTTTCTTAATCAGACTCCAGTCAAGGTTCATGTATTTGCATTTGGTTGTTATCTCTCTTCTTCCCAACCCACACCTTTTTATCTTTTTTGACACTGACTTTTTTGAAAAGTCCAGATGAGTTGTCCTCCAGAAGTCTAATTTGTTCCTTTGTCTGCTGTTTCCTGTAAACTAGAAGTTGATTGAGTTCAGGTTTGAGTTTTTGTGTGTGTGTGTGTTTTTAAAAATATGTCTTTATTGACTTCAGAGAGAGGAAGGGAGAGGGGGAGAAAGAGAGAAACATCAATGATAAAGCGAGTCATTGATCAGCTGCCTCCTGCACGCCCACCACTGGGGACTCAGCCTGCAACCTGGGCATGTGCCCTGACAGGGAATTGAACTGCGATCTCCTAGATCATAGGTCGATGCTCAACCGCTGAGCCACACTGTCTGGGCTTTTCTTTTTTAATCATCACCCAAGGATATTTTTTCCATTGCTTTTCAGAGAGAGTGGAAGGGGGAGAGAGAGACAGAGAGACAGACATCAGTTGGTTGCCTCCTGAACATGCCCTAACCCGGGCTGGGGATCGAGCCTGCAACCGGAATCAAACCCGAGACCCTTCAGTTCACGGGCTGATGCTCTAACCACTGAGCTAAACTGGCTAGGACAGGTTTGAGTTTTTAATGAGAACCTTGCCCGAGGATGCTATAGGTGTGTACCCTTCAGGAGGTATGTGATGCCAGCTTGTTACATTGTTGGTGATGCTCTGTCTAGTCCCCTGGTCAGGGCAGTGACAACTGATTTCTCTGATGAAAGGAACTTGAAGTACATTCTCCACCAGCCTCCTTGGAGGTGTGTGGCACTCCAGGTCTAGGGCCTCTGCCTTCCCTGGCCCTGTGGCCAGAGCACAGTTGGTCACCAGGACAGACTTTGGGGCTTAGACCTCAGATCAGTCAGTTAGGAGCCGTAATACACAATTCCCTTGGTTTCTTTCTCTGAGGATAAATGAAATTAAGAAGCCTTGCCCTGCCCACCTCACCCCTGCTGAGGCTCAGCGGTGACTGTGGGCAGAGACCTCCGGAGGCCTCAACAGGCAGCCTGGGAATTTGGCAAATCTGTTTTTCAGGGCCGGCTGACAACACTGAGCCTGTCCTGAGAGGACCTTTATGTATACTACCTAGTTGGGCAATTCTTAATCCAGCTCTGTGTGGCAGTTGCTATTCTTTATTATCCCTATTTTTCAGATGAGGAAATGAGCTTGTACAATAAGTAATTTACTCCCCTAGACCTCCAGCTAGGGAGTAAGGAGGAACCTAAGCAGTTTAACAGGTACGGCTTAGCTGGCAGGGGGCGCTGTTGCCTGGATGGAAGGCCCTATGCCCACCCCCAGCCCCTAATTCCAGGAAGGCGTGGCTTCGTCATCCAGTGACTAAGATCTGGCTGCCCAAGCTCAGAGAGGTGAAGTCTCAGCACATGTCGCCCAGTTTCTTCAGGTGTTATGTAGGGTTAGTCATGACAATCGCTTGGGACTGCTCTGTGGAGATTTAAAATGGATCTGGGCCCCTTTCAGGTGATCTTCCAGGTGTTGTGTCCCCCATTTTCAGTGCTTCAGAGAGGCAGGGTGACCAGCTAGGGCCTCGCAGGCCCCAGGGAGCTTTCCCAGCCACCAATACCTGGCTGTAAGCTTCACCACGTGTATATCTCTGCACTGACAGCCCTGATCTCAAGGTGTCTGTAGTGTCTGTTAAGCTGGGTGTGGGAGGTCATGGGGGAGGCAGGTGTCACTGAGTCATTCAACTGCTGGTCTTCCTGGCATCCAGGCCACGGTGGGCAAGGGATATGAAGCTGATCATGTCTCAGCTGGCACATCAGTCCGCTTGTCAGTCTTGACTCATCTGTGTCTGGCCCCTGGCTGCCTGCAGGGACACCATCTGTGAATCTTGGGCTAGTGCCCAGGGAACTTTCTGGAACCCAGGTGCTATCTGAGGACATGGGTACTGGGTGGGGGTGGGGTGAAGTTTTAGGTCTCTAAAGCCTTCTACCAGGTGTGTCTGGCTCTGCTGTTTCTGGCCTATGACTTCTCAGGCCTTGGTTAGCATGTTTACAAATTGAGAACAACAAATCATAGGTGAGATTGACCCAGGGACTAGGTGACATATATGAACATGCCCAGCTATGTGGGCTTTTGCTTATCATCATGCCCAGCACAAGGGTCTGAGGGCACTCAGTAGGTACTTAGTAGAGGTCAGTGGAATGAATAAATGAATTGAGCCTTTGAACAGAGCAGAGGAACTGAGGTGTGGGGACTCTTGTGTGAGGAGACCTGAGGATACTGAAGCCCAGCCAAGTCCCCTTTGCAACATTTGCTATCCAAGGGAGGGGGAAGGGTGGAGGTCTCACAGAAAGAAGGTGGGTATGGGGGACAGAGGAGAGGTATCTGCCCCTGTCCTGGGAGGACCATTGTTCTGGAGAGAACAGAGCAGAAGCAGGAAAGAAGAAACAGGACAGGGCCCACGGATTCACTCAACCTGCCCTGTCCAACCAAATATGGAAGAAAAAAAAAGGTTCTTATTGAGATACTATTATATGCCAAACATGTGCCAACCACTTTATTTTATTTATGTCTTATAACACCCCCACCAAGACAACATCCCTATTCTACACAGGAGGAAACAGGCTTAGCCAAGATAAATGGGCAGAGGTGAAACAGCTAGTGAGGGGCAGAGCTGGGATTTGAAGGTGGGGCTGTTCAGAAAGCTGGGAGGACCAGGAGGTGGGAGTGGGGTATCTGAAGGTCATGTCCTGGTCATGGTTCCTGGGGCCCCTGGCAGTACCGAGGCTTCAAGTGAGTGTGCCTGGCCTGTTGGGGAATGCCTGGGGCCTGAGTGGCCCAATGTGGATATGTTCCCATGGCAATGAAGAAACACTGCTGAGGTCAAAAGCTCAGATTACCAGGGGGGGGAAACCCAGTCCCAATTCCTTTCATGGCTCCCTGCTGGGAAGGGTCACAGGTACCCCCCACCCCTTACCCACTCTGCTGGACATACAGGAGCTCTTTTCAATGGCAAAGTCATGTGTGGGGTGGATAGGAGGGGCCATAAACAGCCCAGCCGGGATCCTGATGGTAAGTGTTTTGCTGGTCCTTGAGGCTTGTGTCCTCTGACATGAGGTTTGATCCATGACTCCCTCTTCCCATTGGACCTAGTCTGGGAAGCTAGAGCCAGCTTGGGTTGTCCAGGCCTCCAAGACCCTTCAGGCTACCCCACAGTCCGGCCCTTACTTATGTTGGAGACATCAAGAACAAGAGGAGCCTGCAGGACCCACCAACACCTTAGCCAGGCCCTCCTCACTCCAAGCCCCTCTCAAATGTTGCCAAGGAAACTGATGGAGCAGCCAGAGATCCCTACCAAGTTTCCATGACAACCTACAACAGCCCACCAGGATCCATCCATCTGTAATGTCACCTGAGCTCTGAATGGGTGCCCCCACTTCTGCCACACTTGTCACAACCCAAATATTGGAGTCTTATAGTACATCCCTGTCATAAAGTGCCTCACAGCCTGCCTGGCCCCAATCCTCACACACCCCAGATATATAAGCAAGGGGGAATAGCTCATGCCCAATTTATGGCTGGGCACCCAGAGACTGAGATGGAGGCAAGACCCGGGAACCTGGAGGCAGAGTCAGTACTAGAAACCAAGTCTCCTCATTACCTCTCCCCTCTGTGTCCCACCGCTACCCTAGGTCTGAAGAGGAGGTGAGCTCTGGGCAGTGGTGGCACCAAGTGGTGGCTAAGAGCTCTCCTCATTTCCCCCTGCATCTGTGCTCCTGGATGGGAGTCTGAACCTCCAGGCCTTGCATGTACCCTGAACAGGCAGGTCCAGACTGGGACTAGGGGGAAGGAGGGAGACATTGAAGGCTCTTAAAGTGGCTAGATCCAGACCTAATCCAGTTTCTGGTCCAGTTCCACCCCTATCTGCTCCTGCTGGCATCTGACACCTGCCTGCCAGGATTTCCCCAACTTTGGGCAACCTCCAGCCCAGGAACAGGATGACCAGGGCTGGAGCCAGGGCCAGGGCCGGGGCCAGGTATTTTTAGCAGAGTTGCTGGCAGCTGTCTGGAGGGTGCTGGGTGGTGAGGTGGTGCTGAGTTCATCCTTTCCCTGAATCTGGGCCTGTGTTTCCTCCCCAGGGTTCAAGCTTGAACCTCTAGCTGCAACACACTGCCATAGGGCCTCCCTTCCTTGTCCCCTCCCCCAAACGGCTCTCCAAGGGCCCACAGGGGCTTATGGGGTGACACCCATCCTTACCCTGAAGGGCAGGCTCATCAGGTAGAAACTTCAACTCCCCATGGCAGGAAGGCGAGTGGGAAGAACTTGGTGTTGAGGTTAGAAGCTGGGTTCAGGACCCCTAAATTCTAGCTCTGATACAGGTCAGCAAGGAATGGGTGTCAATGAGCGGAAGAGGGTGAAGTCTGTCCAGCCTGTAAATGCTCTGCTTGCTTGGGCGACAGGCCAGGCCAGGGCAAGAGGGAAGGGAGAATTTACTTTTAAAGGGCCAGACCTGATTCTTCCCCAGAGGGGAGTTGGCACCTTGCCCCCACCCATGACTGCACGCCCCCTACCTTCCCAGCCCCATTCACATACTCCCCCTCCTTCCCTGCCTCCCACACCACACTCTCTCTCTCTCTTTTTCTCTTTCTCTCTCTCTCTCTCTCTCTCTCTCTCTCTCTCTCTCTCTCTCTCAGACCCTGGCTTTGTCTGCAGTCTGTCCCTGCTCCGCCCTGGCGGGTGGGGCGGGGTCTCTGTGGGTGTGAGGTCCTGGGAGGAGGGTGTGGGATCCCTCCTGGGGAGAGGGGGACCGACACGTCAGCCACGGCCTCAACGTGGACGGGGGCGAGAGCGGGGGCGGACAGAGGCTTAAATAGGCGGCTCTGGAGCCAGGACTCAGTGCGGACAGAGAAGGCACCGACTGTGACAGCATTGAGCGTCCGAGCCTGGGTCTGCGATAGGAGCACGGGACCTTGTCCTGACCGTGTCTCCGCGCGAGTGGGTGAGTGTCCTGGCAGAGCGCGATGGGGGTGGTCGCTCCGGCAGGGTTGCTAATGGACAAGTCAGGAGGATGGGTCACAAGGCAGGGCGCGAGGACCTTCAGGACTGGGATGCGACCACGGCAGGTCGTCGGTCCGAGCATCTTGCCAGAGTCCGGGCCCGGGGTCCAGCTGCCCTCTCCATCTCTACCGTGGCTTACGAGGCCATCCCGATTCTTCCCCAGACGGCTTCCGACGTGATGACTCTGAACGGCGGCGGCAGCGCAGCGGGAGGGAGCCGCGGCGGGGGCCGGGAGCGCGAGCGCCGTCGGGGCAG